ACCAGAAGCATCATAGGTAATAGAGGATGTCTAAGAAATATCCTTCTAGTGATAAGCTTCCTGGTAATAAGGACAGAAAAGTCCCAAGTCATTAGGGAAAGGTATAATTGAATTCTACACTTGTTTGGTGATGTTGAGATTTTATAGACATCTCTTTATAATTATAAAAAATATCTCTAGTGTTAGAACACTTGATGTAAAAGTTTGTCAAATCCAAAACTCTTCTAATACACTTTTTCACTTAGAAACAATTTTTCAAACTCTACAAGTAAGAGAATAGTCTTTACTACAATCTTGTATGTATTAGGGTCTTTGGAATCTAATTAGCTGCTTCTTTAAAAGGAATCGACCTCTAGTTTTTCCTGGTTTGTTTGTTTTTAGAGAGATTTTTGCTATAGGGCATGTCCACTCACCAGAGAGACAGAGAGACAGAAAGGGAGAAATCACTCCCCTAGGGGGCATGGCCACATTGTAATGCCTTCTCCATTCCCCTCTTAGGATTTGGGGCACACACACACACACACACACACACACGCACCTAGTGTGAGTTTCAGCTGCTGGGTCTGGGACTTGAACCTTGGTCGACTACATGGGAATCCAGTGATGTAACCATTATACCATCTTCTGGTCCTGACCTCTAGTTCTACAATACATTTTTAATATCTTCATAGGCCTACCTATGTTTCTTGCCTTTTAAATAAATTTTTTGGCTATTCATGTATATTTTTCTATATGAACTTTTAAAAATTTAAAACAATGTTATCAAGTTCTACTTTTGTTTTCTCATCTGCAAATGTATAAAAACAATATCTTCTCTGAGCCAATAAAATAAAATAAAAATAAATTGTGTTTATGAGTATTGCTTGGGTCCCCTCTTAGGTAATCTTTCACATTCCTTATTAGATCTAGATGACAAAAGTTTTTGACATAAGTTTGTCCATTCCACATTCAGAGATGGGCAAGGAGAAAGCTGAACCACAGAACTTCATCTCAGCAAGATGTCCTGTTTGTTGGGACCACTGTGCCTGTGTAAGACTTTGGTTCTGGTTTCCTCGTCCGTTTGGCTTCTCCTGTGTCTGGTGTGTTGTTTCCAGTCTTGTTCCTATAACTTCTCCCTAACTACTGGACTGGTGCACAGAACAGCAGAATGGATGAGTCCGAAGGCTTGGGAAACTGGTAAGAAGTACGTTTATGGAAAGTGCAGGACAGATGGTTTTTCTGCATGGTGACGCCCCTTGAAAATCGCTCCCACCTCCAACACAACTTCTCATGGCCACCTCCTTGGGCTGCAGCCTTGGCTAGGAAAATCCACAGCTTCTAAAACAATATCATGCAGATTTAGAGCTCTCTCTTTCTCTCTCTCTCTCATCTCTCTCTCTTTTTGATGGCTCTTTTACCTCTAGACCTTGTCCCTTTGGATTAGAGGAATTAATCCTCACTTTTGGGGAAGAAGGAGGTGAGAAAAGAAGCAAAACATGACAAGGAATAAGTCAGAATAATTCTGCTCCCACATCAGCATTGCAGTTGTAGAATGTACAGTGGTGTTCTAGGCTGTTTTGTTGCTAATAAGAGAAAGTCCCTAAGTCTGGGTAATTTAAGAAAGTAGAGGTTTTGTTCAGCTCATGGTTTGGAGGCTCTAGCTCCAGAGGCTGCATCTGGTCCTTCTTGTTGGTGCTGCTGAGAAGTCCCACAATGTTACAGGGCATCAGATATGCAGAGTCCAGGACAGTGCACAGAGCAGAGCAGGTCTCTGTCTCACTCCGCCTCCTGATAAACTCACTGGTATTCAGGAGTGAGGTGCACTAATGGCCTTACCCAACCCAAACACCTCTCAAAGACTCTGCTTCTTAATCTCAAAGTTGATTATGTCTCTGCCCCTCCCTCCCTTAATACCTCCGTAATGACTCATCTAATTTTAACAAGTGAATTTTGGGGATACACATCCAAACCATACCAAGTGATGATAGCAAAAAGACCTTTTTAGCTTTCAGTAAAATACCAATGTCTTTGCTGCCTGTTCCACCTACTCTGTTTAGAAGATATTTGTTGATGCCTTCCTCCCCATTTTATACCATAAGGCCATTACTGTCTCCACTACTCCTTCCAGCTCTTCTCTTCAATATCAACTTCTGTCATCTGCCCAAGCTAGACCATGCTAGCCAAATGAATCCAGGCTGGAAAATCAGCAAGAATAATCAAGCTTAGCTGGTTTAAATTTCTTTCACGTCTGCTTAAAACTGAACTAGCGAACAGTGCAGGAGGCTACCTGTGTTCAGATTCTACCCCAGCCATTCACTCACACAGAGACCTAGGATTAGCTTTGAGAATCCCGGCAGCTGGAGCCTCAACAGCTACCACTTCCTGCCATGCTCATGGCGGGAGATGAGGGGTGGCTTCCCTAGAGTCCTGCAGTCTTCCAGGCACCAATGAGTAGCCCCATCTCTTCCCATTCCTTCCGGGGGCTTCAAAGTCAGGTGGTGGGAGTGACTTCGGCAAGTCATTCAATTCTCTGAGCTTATCTCCTCACCTATAAATTTAAGATTATAACAATACCTACCTCATAAGGTAAGCATTAAAGGAATTCACATGACTCACAAACATCTGGAGCACTCTGTAATATCGACTATGGGTGCATGTGGGTGCACATACGTGTGTATGTGCTTGTTGTCCCAGGGCGCAGCTGAGTTTAATACAATCATAGGACACTTGCAAGGCTATCGTTTATGTATACCACACTCACTGGAATAGACCTAATTCCAGACTCCACTGAAATCTGGGATACACTTCTAATCATTTCAAATGTATGTATATTAAAAAACTCAGCATTGTAAGCTTTACAGTACTTATTATTAAATCTCCAAATTTACCCTAAGGTTCTTATTCTTTGAGAAAAACAAATCTATATGCAAAGAGAATACTCTTTTCTAAGTAAAATAGATATTTTACCAAATATCATTCTATGAGATATTAAGCTATTAGAAACTATTTTTCCAACATTCAGTCACTGTGTGTCATTACAGCATACCAAATGAATTTTCCCATCATGAATATACCATATGTTGGTTCAGTCAAAGATATTATCATATATATTTTCAACAGATAACTTTCCATTTCTGTGGAATGGGCAAGAGGGGCCTCCCCCAATTCCCACCCTCCCACAGTCTCTGGTATCCACAGTTGCTCTCCATCCTTTATATTTTCCAGTCATTCAGCTTATGACATAGAGTGCCAGTATTCAGTATATATTGAGTGGGGACATACAATGCCTCTCTTTCATAGTTTGACTTGCCTCACTTAGCAATAAATCTTCCTTATTTGTCCACTTTCTAGGAACTCTTAATCACTAGATAATTCCTGGTCTTTGGAAAAGTTCTCAGCAAATGTGTTAAATTGCTGACGAGGGTTTAGACATTTAGCTTACAAGAACTTAGACTGATGATGATCATTATTTTTAATATTGTTGTTTATTTACCCAGCAGATTTCCTCCAAAAGAGTCAGAGTTTAACAAAACCTGAAAACTAGCCACAGATCACCACAGCACAGCAGGCCTGGGGCACTGAACTAGATGAATCTTTCTTTTGGAGTAACTGGAACCCCTGGAGTGGTGTGGAAGGAGCCTCCTTCAGCTAATCAGGCTGCTCTGTGCATCCATAGGTCCAAAGCAGCAGTGAGAGAGCCTGTAAACTTCAGCTTCAGAGAATAGCCCAGCCAAGGCTGGTCATGCCACTTGGTTCCAGTTCAATTTGTATGAGCTCCAAGAGCTTAAGGCACAACTTGCATCTGTGTCTCAAGTTGTTTGCTGACTTTTTTTCTTTCTTTCTTTTTTTTTTTTTTTTTTGAGAGGTTTTTGCTATAGGGTGTGTGCACTCGCCAGATAGACAGAGAGAGACAGAGAGACAGAAAGCGAGAAATCACCCCCCCAGGGGGGATGGCCATGCCGCAATCCCTTCTCCTCAGTTCTCCTCTCGGGATCTTGGGCATGCACGCACACATGCCCGGTGTGAGTTTTAAGCCACCAGATCCAAGACGCGAACCGTGGTCGACTACATGGGAGTTCAGTGAAATAGTCATTATGCTAACTACTGGTCCCCCAACTTTCTTTCTTTCTTTCTTTCTTTTTTTTTGAGAGGTTTTTGCTATAGGGAAAGTGCACTTGCTAGAAAGACAGAGAGAGAGAGAGAGAGAGAGAGAAAGAGAGAAATCACCCTCCACCCCAGAAGGGATGGCCATGCCATATTCCCTTCTCCATTCTCCTCTCAGAATCTTGGACACGCACACACATACACGAGTGTGAGTTTAAACCACCAGATCCAGGACTTGAACCACGGTCGACTACATGGGAGTCCGGCAACATAGCCATTACACCAACTGCTGGTCCCGACTTCCTCTTTTTAAGAGGGCTGTGAAGGGTCTGGCAGATGGTGTGGTGGTTGAGGTGCTAGACTCCCACATGGCTGACTGTGGTTTGAGTCTTGGACCTGGTAGCTTGCTTTCTCACTTTCCCTATCTCTCACTGGTGAGCATGTGTATTCTATAGAAAATTAAAGAAAAAATAATAATAAAATTAAATGAATAATTCTTAAAGAGATATAGAGCAGTAGAGCATTGTCCGGACTGCAGTCTAAGCTCAGAAATGCTGAGGACCTTCTCCTTAATGGGTAAATAAAGTGGGAGACTGACATTTAAGTTTGTCTTCTAACTGAATTGTGCGAGATTAGACAGACCTGTTAGCTCCTAGTTCCTCCATGTGTAAACACATGGGCTGGATTAGACCCCACCGGTTTAAGAGTCAATGTTTTTAAGGTAACAGGAGAATAAAAATGAAAACATATGTAACAGAAATTAAAAACTCCCATTTTTATAAAAAGCCACCAATGGCTAGAAGAGTCAGGAAGAGAGTAGTTCGAGTCATAATTTCATAAGTTTTAATTACAAATAATCTCAACTTTATTCCATTCACACTGTCTCCAAGAATATATGACAGATAAAGATCACTTACTGGTGATTCAATGTCCTCTAGGAGTAAAACAGAACAGCGCTCACATTTCAACAGAGTTTGGGCTCGGTGCATTATTTTCTTGACAATTTTCTCCAGGTCAGTCTGCTCTTCAAAGAGATCATTAACCACCTCTAGCAAAGCCTAGGAAAGATGACATGGATGTATTTAGGTGAATATAAGACAGGAAAAAAATGTTTTTTTTCCCTTGAAATTCCGTGCAGTCTTTATTCTAATGAAATATTATAAATATTTTTGAACGACCAATTTTAAAGGCGTTTATGATTGTTTTTGACATATCTCTACTGCTTTATTTTGTTTTTTAAATTATTTATTTATATTTATTATTATTATTTAATTTGACCAGAGAGAGATGGGGGCGGGCGAGGGCGAGAGACAGAAAGTGAGAAAGCAAACTGCCAAGTCCAAGACTCAAGCAGTGGTTGGTCATGTGGGAGTCTAGCACCTTAACCACCACGCCATCTGCTAGCCCTTATCACTTTATTTTATAATACCTATTTTTCTTTATTTACTCATGCTAGGGCAGGTGTGCATGTGTGAGAGAGAAAGAGAGGGAGGAAGAAAGGGGAACACTCTTCACAAGGTCTGTCCACCTGCTGATCCCTTTCCTCCAGTTCTCCAGCCTGTGGGATCTTGAGCACTCACTCCCCTGCCTGACAGTTCAGTCTGACTGGGCCAGCGATTCAAACTACAGTTGTCATGTGGTTCCAGCTTCTCTCGAGCAGTGCATTGTTACTGTGCCATGGAGCCAACCCTTATAACACACTCTTAAACTGCAAAATAAACCGAGGCTAGAGGTAAGCCAATTAATAGGGATCATGCAGTCACTGGCTTCAGGCTTTCCCCATCTCCTACTGTAGTTTGACAGCAGAGCGAATAGGTACAAGCTCCTGATTCTCTCCACACATATTTCACAGAATTGCAAAACAGCTCTTCCTCACATCAGGAAGAAATAGCTTCATAGTCACACTTGAGACTTATTTTCACTAATACTCATCTCTCACAGAACTCTGAAAGAATTATGAAAGTGAATGTTAATTAAGATTCAGAACCTTCAAAATATATATAGAGAGAGAATCCTCATAAATCCCTCTATACATAAGAGAAAATACTGTCTCATTTCACATTGTCCAGAACATTTAGATACGTTTGTGTCTCAGAAAAGAAAACAGCATTAAAGGTTCTGTTAAGATAACAGAATGAAAAGCACACGAATGAAAGAAAAAAACCTAAGTTCTAACCTGAAAACTGTGTACTCACTTATTAAATTGTCATAACCTGTCATTTCTCCCTAGCTTGCAATTTTTGCCTTGAAATATTTGTTTGGGATTTTTAATGACATAGATGTACCCAGAGATTTAAGGCTAGTGGGCTATGTACAGGTGCTTTGTATGATGCTTCTCCCAGAAAGCAATCAGAAAATCACACAGTCAGTGGATTTTCCAGAGGGTGCTTTATTCAATAGAATTTAATGAGATGTTTAGTCTCAAGTTTGATCTCTCACAAAAAGGATTTCATGAATTTTCAAATTCACATCTATTCATCATGGTGTTGATTATCAGCTAAAGGATGTGACTAATTTTCAACTAAAGTAATGAATTTGATTTGTCCTTAAACCATTTGAAACATGGGAAAATGTCTTCTCTGAATCCATTCAGGTAGAAAAGCATTTGAATAAGTGAAGAGATCCATGAAATGAGTCTAGTTTTCTGAGCAATTGAAAGAGGACCAAATATTGTGAGCAGCATTATCTCCAAAGAGAGACTGACTATGGCTCATGGTCTTATTGCTCTACGATCCCAAAGCAAAGAAAAGAGGCCAGACATAGAAAAAGTTTTAAGTGAGCCTCAACAATTTGGCATTTGGACAGCCAATTGCTGCAAGAGATCTATGTGCAACGATTTCATGTTCAAATATGATATTGAAAGGAGACAATTGTCGGAATAATTACAAGCCAATTCTCTGTTGTTAAGGAGGATAAAAACATTATTTCCTTAGTCATCCAGACTACTTCTTCAGATGGATCATATTAACTGAACAATTATTTAACTTTTGAATTTGTTGTGACTGTGTGCAGGGAGCCTCTGGGACCTATAAGCAAGAACATTTATCTCAGAGGAAAAACTAATTGTGCCTTGAGTCTTGCACTGACAAACCATATCATAGTAATTTTACTGTTTCTAATTAAAAATTGCTGCTTTATTAACAAATGATGGAAGTTTTATAAGTAACAATGCAGACTAGCTCCAGAATAGGAGTAAAAGAGAAGAAAATCTAGGACAATATGCGATTCGACAGACACTAGAAGCATTTCACACAGTTGACTACTACCTGCTTCTTGATGTCACTTGCCTTCTAGGAAACAGGTGTATTATCTGTGCTGCCCCCACTGCCTCCTCCTGGTGGTCTTCAGGTTCTGGGATGAAACTTTGACCTTCCCTTCTCTTATCTACACAGTCATCCCTAGATTAACCAGCTGATCCCTGGTTTTATCTTATTTTATTGTAGACAGGGTCTCACTGTGTTGACCAGGCCAGCTTTGAGTTGGCAATCAGCTTTCCCTGACCGACTGGGATGACAGGCACACAGTGTAGTGCCACTCTTCAGGTTGGACCAGGAATTAAAGCCAAGTCTTTCTAGTGGTCCCAGTCTGGGGAGAATAGTGCCCTAGCAGAGGTTGCCTCCATGGCTGGGCCATGATGCCCCAGCGTTAGATACCAAGTAGGACCAGCCTCGTAACCTAGTGACTAATGGAACTGGATCCCACATGGCTAACCATCATTTGAATCAAAGTCCTAGTGGCTTGAGAAACACACTGGGCTCATGCATATGTGTTCCCCAAATCCCAACAGGATGAAGAATGGATTGCAGTGTCACCACACCTCATCAGGGAGAAATGCTTTCTCTTTCTCTGCTCTTTGTCTCTGGTGAGCCCTCATGCTCTCTGACAATTTAAATAAATAAATAAATAAATACCTACTGTATGTTGATGATTCCTAGGTCTTTTTTGTTTGTTTCAAGAAATATTTTTGCCATAGGATGTGTGTGCTCACCAGATAGACAGAGACAGAAGCAGAAAGCAGGAAATCACCCCCGCCCCTGGTGGGGGGGATGGTCACACTGCAATCCCTTCTCCTCTATTCTCCTCTCGAGATCTTGAGCACATATGAACAAATGCTTGGCGTGAGTTTCAAGCCTTTGGATCCAGTACTTGAACCATGGTTGGCCATGTGGGAATCCAGCAACATAACCATTATGCCAACTGCTGGTCCAGATGATTCCCATATCTTAATCTCCAGTTCTGACATGTCTACAAAAACTTTCTTGTATCAAACTATTTACTTTCCAGCTGCACAGCAATAAAGTCTTCCTCAGTTATATGAGTAAGCACCACTAAAATTTCCCACTTCTCACTGTGCTGATCCCAGCCATATTATTTCCTAATTTTAACACAGTCTTTCACTAACTCCTCTTTCTGTCTTCAGTCTTCCGTTCTCCTCCTCAGCCAGTTTATTGTTTCTACGGGATCAATAGTAATCTCTTTTTTTGTTGTTGTTTTAGTTTTTGCCATAAGGCACATGTGCTCGCCAGGAAGAGAAAGAGGAGAAAGATAGTGAGAGGGAGAGTGAAAAATGGAGGGTTGGCTTGGAATGAGAGAATATTTTTGTAAACTATGCCTCAGATAAAGGAGTGATAGCCATAAAACACAGGGAACTCAAGTGGTTTACATGAAAAAAAAATTAGTAACTCAATTAAAAGATGGGAAAATGAGCTGAACAAAAATCTCTCTAAGGAAGGCATCTGACCAGCCAAAAAGCATATGAGGAAATGGTCAACATTCCTTATTATAAGGGAGATGCAGATTAAAACCACAATAAGACACCACCTAACCCCTGTTAGAATGGTGAAGAACAAAAATACAAAAAATGGAAAGTACTGGCAGGGTTGTGGTGAAAGGGGAACTCTCCTATACTGTTGGCGGGGATGCAAATTGGTCCAGCCATTGTGGGAAACA